GTCACATAGCCAAGCACATTGAGAGCTTGTTTGGTAGGAGATTAAAATCGGATTAAAATTGAAAAACTAGTCGTTATTGTTGACTTTTATTAGACGAGTGAGGCCCAATAACGACTATATTTTCAATTTTAATTTGATTTTAATCGATACCAAACAGACTCTAAATATATACAATTCCATTATTTAAAATAAGTACTTGTATATGCCCTCGTTTGAGCTCCATTTTATGCAAAATATTTTTTTCTCTTTTTCTTTTCAATCAAACATTCTCCAATAAAATAATATTATACGTAAATCTAACTCTTTTCGATCTTTTTCAATCATACATTCTTAAAAAAAAAATTATTATTCTAAAATATATTTTTTCTAAAATTCTGATTTTGGTGGAGCCCAAACAAGGGCTATGTTAGCATGCAACGTAAGACAAAGTCGTGTTTCATTAATAAATCCATAATTGTCAAAAAAAATGTGTTCCCCACATTTATTCTATTTCAATGAATCATGACTTTGTCCTACGAGATGTACTAATTATTGGATGGGGCGTAAAATCATTTCTTCCTTCAACACGTAGGTATCGAGAATTAATATCGAACAAATATGAGAAAAAACTTGCTAAACAATTACACCTTTATTTAATGAAAAACGATACAATTCTGTCTAAAAAGACATACTAGTTAACATTGTTTGTGTCCATGTTGAAATTTAAGAGTGATACATAGGAGTTTAGGTTAATGTTTTCAGCAGAGTGACCACTCTTGTAACCAATAAAAACTTGAGTGACTATTGCTATAAAAAATTACTTGAATGACCATTTCAATATATTTAACAAACTTCAATAATTGTTGCTAGATAATTCATCCATTTCCTTTCGAATAATGCAATCTAGTACCAATTTAAGTGGTTTGCGGAGGCTCACCAAGACTTTCCCAATACAATTAAATGTACCTTAATTTCATTAAATAAGTTTGGACCACCTAAATTGTGCTAAATAATATTGCTCATTCCTTTTCCAGCTAATCTAGGAGGGAATGTCACTCTTAAGAAATTGTACCATAATATAGAAATTTCATTGTAATGAAGATAAATTCACCATTAGAGCTTATGTTATTCTACGTGAAAACTGTTAAAAAAAATAAAAGAAAGGGGTTTTCTTTTTTTTCTCCTCTCTCACTTTCTACCCTCTTCTATTTGGTCTATATTTCGCCGTGGAAAATAGGAAACAATGGTTTCCCTACTTGTTAACTCGCGCTTCCTTTCTCATATCATCCCGAGTAGACCCCTCCACTACTTTCCCTGTAGAGGCATAAAAATGTGTTGAACTGCCGAAGCTCGAACCACCCAACATGACAGAAATGTACCATCGTGTAGGATCCGTGGCCTGTCCCGACCGTGGCAGCCCAATGCAGTAGTGCACATTCAACAAATTTCCAACAAAACATAGAAAGTAACGCAAAATGAACACTATTACCAGCTTGGAAAATTTAAAAATACAAGTACACTGCAGATAAACACATTTCAACTGCTTTTACAAAGCTCCCAGTTCCAGTAGATAATAAATCCATCGGTTTCGTACATTAATCACATCATTGGGTGAGACCTAATAGTAACATACTACTGATATTATACATATATTGCACAAGGCAAAAGGACTTGATATTTTGCCTGTGCATAGATAAAGATTATATGCTACATTCTGCAAGAGCATCATTGTTATTTTTCAAACACGACACATTGTTATGTTGCTCTATACTAAGATTCCTTATCTCAAGATATCGCGCAGAAGAGAAGACAAAATGATGAGAGGCCTATCGTTTGGACCAGCCATTTTCCGGGAATGCAGGTTACAGAGTGCAGACCCCGCCACATTCCATACAAATTTGCATTTTCCAACATCATTCCGTCTTCTAGCAAAGTCGTATGTTACGTGATAGATAGCAAGGGCCTCCATCTCAATTTCTTCAGTTTTTTTGGCACTTTCTTCCATGTCCGGGGCATCGTACAACAACTGCATGTGTTTAAGCATTTTAAAGTGTCAAGGGTAAATCCCACTAATTAAAGATGAAATATACAAATATATGTAGAACTAGACTACTACTCTTAACGAGGTTGACTTCTTTCGATAAAGCTATAAGACTCGATATGGTATCACCACCTAATACGCTCAAATGAACAGTCGAGTCAAGGGCTAGGACTATTCTTCTAATAAAGTTGACTTTTTTAGACGGAACCCTATGGTTCAACTGATTTTAGTTTCTTTTGTTTCAACTATAATAAAATTACCTGCTTGTATTTTCTGATCACCTCATCGGCAGCAGCACTTTTTGATTCACCTCCCAATTTCAATGCCCTGGTCATGTCCATGCGGTACTCATCATATCTATCTTTCCACATATTCCAGTACATTTGTGGGATTTCAACATCAAAACAGGGTACTTTCGAGATTTCTGCACAACAAGAAAAATAGTTTAGTTATGCCAATTACTCGTTATATTCGAGATCCAAGCCATGTCGCATCGTTTGATAGTAAAGAGACATTGTCTCCTAAAGTATGATAAAAAGATTACCAAATAAAAAATCTGCATCCAACCGACTTGCCAGAAATCTAAAAAGCACTCGTAAAACTAATTTGATGATAGTGATTCAAAGGAATATTCACCTATTGTGGTCAAATGTTCAGTTTTAGATTCCTCAACTCTATCATAAATTTGACCCAATATAGAAGCAGAGTGATAGGTAAAGCCAGGGCCCCTTTCCATGTAATGAGGGTATGATTTTGCTTTCAAATGATTGGGAACTTTGACCTGGTTTACAAGGGTGAGAATAGTCGGATATTAGTGTACATTGAAACAGAAATATAGGGACTGTCATAAAAATACAATTCCGTCACCAAACTAACATTTTTCCCACTTTTAGGTGCATCTAAAGCATCATAATATATGTCAATTAACTGAATGATTTTTCTCCTCAAATCATCCTTTTTGAAGGCACTATCAGCCGACAACATCAGCAGTTGATCCATATATGAGAGCCAGCTATCAGCTGCTGTGGCCATGTCATAACTGGAGGAGTAAACCAGATAACTTAGTGATAAGATTAATCATCTTGTATACAAAATTGCTTCACTTTACAAAGAACAATTGCATACCTTGGCTTCCTTGCTTGAGAGAAAAGCCGAAAAAATTCCCGTTCTAGTTCCTCCTCTGAGAGCTCCTGGGGATTTATCTTATGCGAGTCCGGAGTCGAATGGACACGACTCCATGGTTCACTTGCTTTGAAATATGTCAATAGCTGAAATGTTCATGAAAACAGATATGATTAAACTTGGAACTAATATATTTTGTGTTAATTTCAAAGAAAAATATGAATTCTCAGCATAATCTCGTGCCATCTTGGCAGAACAAGACAACGAAAGATTTAGCAATCAGTGCATGGGGAAAATTTTACGAACACAAACTACTTCAATAAGAAAGATAGAGAGCACAAAAAGAAAGGCCATATATTTAAGAGACAATTAGGGGTAGCACATAATTTATATCTTCTACCAATCAGAAGTAAACAAAGACAGAGAAATCCCTAAACTGGTGCTAACCTCGGGGTTTCTGGAAACCCAATACATGTCTCCATCAAAATCACCCGTTGCTATTTCATAAGCTGCTGATCTCCCGCCTTTGGTCGAGAAGAATATACCATACTTGGCATTGCCAACAACCTCTTGCAACTCCTTCACATATACTGCGTCTAAAATGTGGATATCACCAAAATGCAATCCAGGATTTCTGTATACTAGCACCTTGCCCGAAATTTGACCGCTCTCACTGCATATCCGACAAGAAATTATAATCAAGATGTTTTCTATTTATGAATTTTTAATTATAAAAGAGATTAATTTGAACGTTCACAAATCAATTAAGTAGTTATCATTTGAGTTGGCTAACAGTAATTTGCAGAGGATTGTGGAAGTCTAACTTTGCACATCCCCGTTTGGAAAAGGTAGTAGTCACAAAAGGAAGTCATGACAGTCATAGAAGGTAAAGGATGAAATTCTAGACTCTTTCATTTTCAAAGACAGACTGCAAAATCACATAGAAGAATTCCCTTCTCAGAAGTGTAATCTATATACATACAGGATAACACAGACTTCGTCATTGTTCAATCTTCCCGTAGGGTCAGCAGTGCCCATCACGTAAAAGCTTTCACTGATTGGTATCCTCCCTGTTTTAAGCTTCCCCTTGTCGTCCTTTACCAGTCTTGACAAACATTGTTGGAGATATGGCTCACAGAGAGGAATCCCAGATAATAGCATTCTTTGGGCCATAAAACCATCATCCATGCCTTCATGGTTTGA